TGGTGTGTTGCAGAGTTTTAGTAATTAGTTTATGTGTGCCGTGAGATGAGCAAGGTTGAAAAGTGCTCCCCTGCTTAAATGGTGAGGAGCAATGAACATGTCACATTCAAAATACTTCATCACGGGATTGATCTGAATGCCAACCCAACAGTGTAGCCACAGCTCTGGGTGGGAGAGGGTCTTGGAGGGCCTGCTTTGCTGAGCACGATAGGCTATTGGATGGTGGAAAGCACTGGGATTCGGGGGAGGGTCCTGGTTGAGTGGTGGTGGTGGGGGGCATTCGGGGACTTTAGGGTAGTGGCTTTTTGCCAATTGATATGGAATCATTTCAGTGTTTTAACAGGTATGGAGGTGCCAGTGTGAACTGGCTGAATAGAAACCGTAGGAGAAGGACTTGTCAACCCCAGGCCAGCATCCTCATCTAATAGTGGTTTCCAAGGACCTATGAAAAGCTTGAGGTCGGATTTTTAGATTCTACCAGGTATGCATTTTTCTTTATAGACACTAGAGGGCAGCAGCTACCTTGGAACTGTGCAACAGGCCTGTACTCCAGGGCTGGTGAGCGGGGCTCTCCCAGTTTCAGTCAAGGGAGATGAGGCAGCTTTTGCAAAAACACCTGAGTGTTTTCTCTCTATTCTTTAGGATGCATCTACATGTGGAGATGATTCCCGAGGGCATTTGTTGGAGGGCTCAGGGTGTCCTTCAACCTGTTGTCACATGCTTGGGCCTGAAATATGGAGACTTTTCTAATCTTTGGGGGCAATTGTCCAGATTCAGAAAATATTTATTAAATGCGCAGGTAGAAATGCCTGGCACATCGTAGCAGACGGCTGGCATTTGATCCAAGCTTATTTAACTGGTCCCTCACCATTTACTGTTGCTGGGTAATTGCATGTAGGCAAAACACTCTCTGGGTGTGCCCTGGGGATTTGTGAAGATTAAGTGTTATAAACAAGGACGTAGAAGTGAGTGGTGTTTGCATATTCACAAGGTGTCTGTGCAAAAATTGAACTCTTCCACATATGGGAGGTGGCTGCTGACATTAACCATATTTAAACACACTGTCCTAGCCCAACTGGCGTGGTTCAGTGGTTGAGCATCGACCTATGAACCAGGAGGTCACGGTTCGATTCCCAGTCAGGGCACGTGCCCAGGTTGCGGGGTCCATCCCCAGTAGGGGCCATGGAGGAGGCAGCTGATCCATGATTCTCTCTCATCATTGATGTTTCTCTCTCCCTTCCTCTCTCAAATCAATAAAAATCTATTTAAAAAAGTTATTACACATAGTGACAAAAAACACAACATGGGGAGGTTCATACAACTTTGGTATTCATTTTAAGCTCCTCTTCAGGATATAAATGGTTTGTGGAGTTTGAGTGAATTATGGATTGTGGGTAAAGTGGTGTGTGTGTGTGTGTGTGTGTGTGTGTGTGTATGGCGCTTGGCTGGGTGGCGGTGGGTAGCACAGTGAGGCTTCACGGTTACCATGACTACATCATGAAACTCCCCTAACAACTTGAACTGTATACGGCCAAGAAGGGGGTTTGAAAAATCATACCAATGAAAAAATAAGAGGGGGTTACTCATTCCCTAACTGGGAAACAGCATTTCCTTAAATATTACGACCATCTGGGCACATTCTCTTTAAAGATTCTGTACTCCAGATGCATTTTTGTCAAACAAAGCAGAGTTATCTTTAGTTACACAAGATTTGAGGAGCAGTGACTGAATGTCACAATTCTACGGGAACCTGGGAATTGGCTGTACAGGGGTGTTTGGTTTAGCTGGCACTGGGGGGGGGGGTAATGTCTCTGTGGCCACGTAAGTAAAAAACAACCCTTCCTTGGAACTGCCGGGTTGAACTGGGGAGGACAGGATGAGCAGCATGGAGATTCTCATGTCCTTTAATCTGTGCCAGCCACAGCTTTTCTGGGTCTGCCTGGGCTCCCAAGGATGCCACACCTTTGGGGAGAGATAACCCAAGGAAGGATCATGAGGAGGAATCATTGGACTTGGGGCCTCAGTTTCTACATCTATAAACAATGAGGTTTGGAGTGAACTATCCTCCAGGTCTTTTGCTTTTTAATTTACATCTACATTAATTACCAATGCCAGAGGAGGTCAGTTGATTGGACACTTTCAGCAGGACAGGGTGAGGTACTCTGCTGGTCCACTCACCAGTGAAACTGGTGAATATTGTTATTTTTTTAATTTTTGTTGACTTTAGAGAGAGAGAGAAGGCGGGGGGAGAGAGAAACATCAATAATGAGAGAGGATCATTGATTGGCTGCCTCCTGCACATACACCACTGGGGACCAAGCCCACAACCCGGGCATGTGCCCTGACCAGGAATCGAACCATGACCTCCTGGTCCATAGGTTGACGCTCAACCACTGAGTTGCACCGTCTGGGCAAGGTAAACTATTTCATGGGGAGGTCTAAGGCCTCCTGGCTGAGCATCAGTTACCTGGGCTGGTGTCCTGTGGGTATCAGAGCATTGCCACCTGCTAAGGAATGGCAAGGAGTATCTCAGGGCATAAAGCTCTTGACTGTAAATCCTCTCTTCTCCGAGAAGACAAGTATGCATCTTAGAAAGGCAATACAGCGCTCCATGTTATATTAGTGTGACTGTGCCTGTGGCAGGAAAAGCGAAGCCATCTGCAGGTTTCGTCCAGGGCAATGACACACAGCATCCAGGTTCAGGCCCTCTCCCACCTCCCTTCCCCCCCGCCCCAAGTTTATTCTGTGGTCTAAAATGTTCAACCATATGGAGGACTGAATGTGTGGCTTTATAAATGTGATGAAGAAGCCATATCGACTCATTTGCTAAATAAATGTATTTATTTATTTTTTAAATAAGTCTTTAATGAATGCATGGGCTACACACAAAGGCTCCAGCGATGTGTCCGTAAAAACAGGGCAGTGACCTTGCAGGCAGGCCAGAGCACCTGGATAGAGCTCTCGCCCACCCTAAGGAGGTGGAGGGGACGCAAACCACGGAGATCACCAACCCCGCTAACCCTGGAGAGGTTCGCTGACTCCCCAGTCTTCTCTGTGCAGTCTCTCTCTCTCTCTTTGGTTTGTTGCACCCGAAAGTGACCCGGTAGAAGCGACCTCCACGTGGCTCTGTGTTCCAGGTGGTGGTGGGAGCTGCATGGAGCTGAGCATGCGCTCTGGGCACCTGGGCACCGAACCTGATGGGAGAAGCTGAGCATGCGCTTTGGGGGTCGGGGCACGAGCCTGACAGGAGGAGCTGAGCATGCGGTCTGGGCACCTGGCCACAGAACCTGATGGGAGGAGCTGAGCATGCGCTTTGGGGGTCAGGGCACGAGCCGGGCACGAGCCGGGCACGAGCCTGACAGGAGGGCTCCTGTCGGCGAGGCCCTGGCTGTGGTGACGCCTGCGGCTCCGCCTGCTCCCTGTGCTCCGAGGCCTGAGGCTCCGGGCCGTGTGGCGGGACC